CAAATAAAATTAAGCAGCTGTTTATATAAATGAACACATTACATTACTTACCCTCAAAAATCAAGATTTACTGTACAAACCCTCTTTTCCACACATGTGCTGTCCAGCAACACTCAGATCCTTGTTTTACAGGTAAGAAAATTGAAGCACATAAAGGTCACTCTACTGTGGGTGATGAAAGCAAAATCAGTTCACCAGATCAGTTCACCCCTAGTTACTACCTGTAGTCATCTAAGCTTCATAGGAGCTGATTACATGACAAAGTAGATCAGATGCTTTGAGAAATATTTATACTCAGTGAAATCCTATGCAACCATTACAACTGCAAAGATGGTTCTGCTAACAAGGCCATATGAAGCTTCAATTGTGCCTCTAACTAAGGACCATTCATAAATTACCTTCTTTCAACCTTCTCCATCAATCACATGAGGTAAACATTCCTCTAGGAGACTTGAGAGTCAAGATGACTCTACTCAGGAAAACAACAACCCCTATTTCCACAAGCATCATCACACTTGACATTACATGACATTACACCACAACTGCCTAACTTGAAATGGACAGAGCCCCCACCCCCCCTCCAATAATTAGAGCTCGTCCCTCTTAGTCTGCACAAAAAAAAAAAAAATGGGTCATAGAAGAGACATTGTGAACTCTGCCTCAGAATAGATCATTTACCATTTGATTCACAATAGTGTTCACTTAAACCAAGCTAGTGATACTCACTTTTGTGTTTATCTAGAACGTTTTTAATGTTAATAAACCAAGTTTCAATTAGACTTTGTCTTTACAGATGACTAGTAACTCAGGACTTACATTTTCAATCTGTCAGTCATGAAATGGTTAAACTTGAGGGTAACACCCTGGTGGATATCCTCTCTCTCAACCATCAAAGGGGTGGGGGAGTCACAGTCAGTTACTCCTGTTACACCAGTGTTCACTGGAACATCTGTAAGCAGGCAAACATTCTAACCTTCAGCCTTCAGCTTGCCACAGTCATACCAAACAGTCAGTGATTCTTCCCCAAGTGCCGAGTTTAATTCCTGATTTAGCTGCAAGGATTCAGAGAGGGATAAGCAGCCCCTCTGGCCTTCAGGTAGGTCTAATACCTTCCTTTCTAGCAAAGCTAAAAGATGGGAACCTATGTTTATAAACTTGAAGAGACTGTTGATGCCACACTAAAGCAATATGCTGGTAACGGATGAACAGGGCATCTGGGTAGGGAAGATGTGCTGTAGATTTGGGAAGTATGGGGTCTTCTGGTCTTAAGCTACTGCAAGGATTAATTGCGTTTCCTTCAGGGTGTTATTATTAATCTTGAGATGTAAATGATCCTCCAACATCAGCATGGGCAGACAGGCCTAAGCCTGGTTTTAATGCTGGCAGAAATCAAATACTGTATGCCTCAAACCTGATTAGCCATGCAAGCAGTGTTAATTCACACACTAAGTAGCTGCAGTGCATGCTGTACTTGCTAGTTTGGTGTCAGGAAACACAGGCAATGCTGATCTGTAAGACTTAGTGCTTCAGAGTACACTATCTATCTTTGGAGAGAAAGTCAGTTCCAACACAGGAAACTACAAACCCAGACCTCATGCCATTACTTCTCTTCTGATACTCAACTATGCCCTGGCTTCAAAGCGAATAAGTGAAAATTGCCCTGCTGGGGAATGCTAGCACAGAGCTGAGGAAGCTGTGTTAAGGGTATTGGCCCCATATTTCTTCCTTTTAAAAAGAATCTTTAATGTGTTGACTTTGAAATTCCCCTTAGTTGAAAAGCAGTCTTTTTTCCCCCTGCTTGGTATTTTGTCTATTTAAAGAGAAAACTTTAATGGGTTATTTTAGATCTAGCATAATTTTTAAACAATTTTAAAAACCTAGATGTAACTAATATAGTTATATTAAAGCCATGGAAAAAGTACAATTGTCAACTCCAGTAAAAATATATCCCTGCCCACAAACCAAAATTTCAACAACTTGGTGTGTCAAAAATTCTAAAACACCTCCAATAAATGAATCTTCTGACTAAGACAGATCATGTAAGACTTCAATGAGAAAACACTTGTCTGTGTTACAAGAAGAGACACTGTAGCTCCCTTTACTGTTTTTAGGACTCCAAGTTTGCTAAAAAAAAAAAAAAAAAAAAAAAAAAAAAAAAAAATGGACAATCTTCCCTGTGTATTGCTCAAGAAACTGCTTCTATTTAATCAATAAGGTTCCAAATCATATGGTGACCTTCTGACCTTCACATGGCACATCGAGCTACAATGAAACTTCTCTCTCAGTCTCTATCTCTATCTCTCTCCCTCCTTCCCTTTCTCCCTCTCCCTACCTGCCTCTCCCCCTCCCCTTCCCTGTCCCTCTTTCCTTAGGATCTGGAATCAATTGGTTCTGTACAGCTTGTTCTATATCAGTTTTCCTGGGTGTTTGAAATAAGTAAGCTTTGAACTCAGTGCTGCCTCCATCCAAAATGGGGCAAATCTCTGAAAATAATCACTCTGCATGTAGAGTATAATTGCCTAGACCACCTGTGGTTTTCACTTCCTGAATTGGGGATCAACTCTCTTTTAATTCCTATGGACAGAAAGTTCTCAATTGACAGAAGAGCCTCTCGTATGCATACTTGAAAAGCCAAGGAATAAATTAAGCATTTTCCCATATTATTTCACAATCAGAGAAAGCTACTGGATCTGTAAATCACCACAGCCTGAGGAAGTGGGGGGGGGGGGGGCTTGCTTTCTTAGCTCCAGAAATAATCTTTCTCAGGAACCATTTCCTCCCTTGACTTAGCCCATGAAGAATATTAAAAGATCAGGTCTTGAGGACTCTCTCAAGTAAACTATAAGTATTAGCTATAAGAGAATGCTTAGCAATTAATAATATGTAAACTAAGGAAGTGTTTCAGGGCATAAAACATGTATGTCATAGAGTAACCACAGATACTACATGGTCCAAAGAATATTGGCAAGGGGAACAAAATTATAGTGTCCAGTAACATTTGCTGACAATTTCTGTGCACCAGGCACCATGCCTTATACTCAGCTCATGCTAACTTACTTCACAAAGCAATCCAATGAATAGGTACTAATATTATCCCAATTTTCAGACAAAAGAGAGAAAGTAAGTTGCCAAGCACAGTTACAAAGAAACTAAGTGGTAGAGTTTTCAGATTTAGACTCATAAAATCCAACTTTGGATCCTGCACACAGTGATGGGTTAGAGAAGTAGTGAAAAGAACAAAATAACCCTTGTCATCACCAATACCTTTGACTTATAAATTTATCCTACTATCATTATTTCAAGAGTTTATCATTTACAGCACCCCCTCTACTGCTCAGAAGAGTGTTAAGAGCCAGAAGAAAGAGGTGCTGTGAAATGCTATCTTTAAGATATGACACAGACACTGTGATCGTAAACTCATAGTAGCTGTGGTTTTCTAAGACTAGGCCTGAACAAGATCCTATCAACAGCCAATCATGGATTGGAAGGGGCTCGAGAGGTCCTGCTCCACTCTGCAGCACTACTGACTAATGATAGATTTGGAAAGAGAAGGAGTCACTGCCTTCAAATATGCACCCACTCATGAGCACTCCAAGCTTCTATAGACAGTTCCAAACCCATGGTCACACAGATGTCTCTGGTTAAACTCAGTGGGTCATAAAACAAAATAGGCATGAATGTGGGAAATGTGAAGAAAAGATTGGGGGGGGGGGTGACAAAGGCGGGAGAGAAATAAAAGAGGGCAGTAGTGAGAGCAATCAAAATGAACTATATGCATGTATGAAGCTGTCAAAGAACAAATCCACTTAATAAAAAAGGTTAACTGTCTACAGCCACCCACCAAATCCCAACATCCTATAGCCCTTTCTAAACATCTCCAACATCATTCATGTGTGCTGTTGTTATCAGCAGATAACTGTGCCCTAATAGCCGTGTTAGCTATTAGTTCAAAGACAATGGTATTTACTATTTACTGTGCTCTAGCCCTATTCTGAGTCCTTTACAAGTCTTAAATTGCTAATCATAACTGACATTAACCTATTGTGGGTAAAATTACCTCGTTTTACAGATGAGGAATTAGAGCCACAGAGAGTTAAACAGCTTGCTCAAAGTTGTGAACTACGAAGTGACAGCCAGGATTTGAACATAGTCTGATGGCACTGAGTCCTAGTATTGACCTTTGTTTTATTCTGCTTTTTAAACAACTTATTTTATTAAAAATAAAAAGTCTATCTTATTTTGTTTCAACATTTAGTGTCAGAACGGGAGTGTTTCACACCTACAAGCAGGAAGAGTACTTCATCTCTCTCTAAGGTAGGTAGCAGTACAAACTTCCTAAGTTACCTTTATCTAATAAATATTTCTTAATAGCAGTACAATACAAAAAGGAGCCCTCTTTGCACTCAATATAAAATTATTCAAGAACCATCTCACAGTTTGTGGGCTGGAAAGTGGTCTGAAACAGGACAATTCCTAGGTGTTGGTTGGAGCAGCGGGGGAAGTGGATAGTTTAGAAACTGTCTCTGCTTTGCTAAAAGAATCCTCAAAACAAGGAAGAAAGCTGATGAGCAGAAATGGGGCGGGGTCTTCTAAAGTGTCGCTTGCAACCGTTAGTAAGTACAGGAGTGGGGATAAAATATCATTTCAAACTGGTTCTCCCTCTGCGTGCTAGGTATTCTGAGACTCGTCTTTTGGTTCTGAAAGACAGTCAACTTTCCTAACTCCCTGTCCCAACAAGCGACGAGTCCGCAGAGTGCATTCTGAGTCTTGCTTCAATAGATCCAGAGTGGAGTCAGTAAAGACAACTCAACCATGGCTTCCCTTCAGTCTGTGGTTTCCAGGCAACCACACTTTGGGGAAAGTATCTGTGCTTCCTACCAGCACACCCCACTAAGAGTACCAGAAGAAGCTGCGGGGATTCCTGAGCACGGTTTGCAGGAGCCCCTCCTGGTACTTTTGCCTTCCAGAGCCTTGATGTCGGCAGAGGGGCGCGCTCTCACCTCGGTTCCCTAGCTGTCCGTCACCTTGGCGCCCATCTAGTCACTTCGCACTTTTGGAGTCTTTATCCAGCCAGCCTTGAAGGCTCCAGTCCTGAAGCAACAAGGAGACAGACCATGGAAAACGGATTCCTGGGAAATGTAGTTCTGTTGGCTCGCATGCACGGGCTCTCTAGGAAAGAAGGACTACAATTCCCAGAAATCAAAGCGAAGCGAGTCCGCCACTAAACTATGTCCCAGCAGCTAGGATTGAATTAAGTAGGAAAGGTCTGTGTGGCTCTTCACTTCCTGACTTGGGGTCTTTACAGTTCTAGGACAAGCATGTTAAATGACTTTTCTTTTAAACAAGCCTTTTGCATGTGAGAAAATATAAACACAATGATGTATATGAAAAGTTATTCTAAGTTATTGTGTTTTATACTTCTTTCAGATAAAAGACCTCACAATCAAAAATGTCACTGCAGATGGTAACAGTGGGTCATAACATAGCCTTAATTCAACCAGGCTTCTCACTGATGAATTTTGATGGCCAAGTCTTCTTCTTTGGCCAAAAAGGCTGGCCCAAGAGATCCTGCCCTACTGGAGTCTTCCATTTTGATATAAAGCAAAATCATCTCAAACTGAAACCTGCAATTTTCTCTAAAGATTCCTGCTACCTCCCACCACTTCGCTACCCAGCTATTTGTTCATACAAAGGCAGCTCAGAGTCTGAACAGCATCAATATATCATCCACGGAGGGAAAACACCAAACAATGAGCTTTCCGATAAGGTTTATATCATGTCTGTTGCTTGCAAGAATAACAAAAAAGTTACTTTCCGTTGCACAGAGAAAGATTTAGTAGGAGATGTCCCTGAAGCCAGATATGGGCATTCCATTGATGTGGTATATAGTAGAGGGAAAAGTATGGGTGTTCTTTTCGGAGGACGATCGTACATGCCTTCTACCCAGAGAACCACAGAAAAATGGAATAGTGTAGTTGACTGCCTGCCTCATGTTTTCTTGGTAGATTTTGAATTTGGGTGTGCTACATCATACATGCTTCCAGAACTTCAGGATGGGCTGTCTTTTCATGTTTCCATTGCCAGAAATGATACTATTTACATTTTAGGAGGACACTCACTTGCCAATAACATCCGCCCTGCCAACCTGTACAGAATAAGGGTAGATCTTCCCCTGGGTAGCCCAGCAGTGAATTGCACAGTCTTGCCAGGAGGAATCTCTGTCTCCAGTGCAATCCTTACTCAAACAAATAATGATGAATTTGTTATTGTTGGTGGTTATCAGATAGAAAATCAAAAAAGGATGGTCTGCAACATTGTCTCTCTAGGGGATAACAGGATAGAAATTAGTGAAATGGAGACCCCAGATTGGACCCCAGATATTAAGCATAGCAAAATATGGTTTGGAAGCAGCATGGGTAATGGGACTGTTTTCCTTGGCATACCAGGAGACAATAAGCAGGCTATGTCAGAAGCATTCTATTTCTATATGTTGAAATGCTCTGAAGATGATGTGACTGAAGAGCAGACAATCTTCACAAACAGTCAGACATCAACAGAAGACCCTGGGGACTCCACTCCCTTTGACGATTCAGAAGAATTTTGTTTTAGTGCAGAGGCAACCAGTTTTGATGGTGATGATGAATTTGACACCTACAATGAAGATGATGAGGATGATGAGTCTGTAACCGGCTACTGGATAACATGCTGCCCTACTTGTGATGTGGACATCAATACCTGGGTTCCATTCTATTCAACTGAGCTCAATAAACCTGCTATGATCTACTGTTCTCATGGAGATGGGCACTGGGTACATGCCCAGTGCATGGATCTGGCAGAACGCACGCTCATCCACTTGTCAGAAGGAAGCAACAAATATTACTGCAATGAGCATATACAGATTGCAAAAGCATTGCAAACTCCCAAAAGAGGTCTGCCCTTACAAAAACCTCCAATGAAATCACTCCACAAAAAGGGTTCTGGGAAAGTCTTGACTCCTGCCAAGAAATCCTTTCTCAGAAGGTTGTTTGATTAGTTTAGCAAAAAGCCCCTCAGATTCAGGTGCACTGATTCTTATACCTACTTTTTAAATCATAGTAGTGATATAAATGATATTTTGATTTTTATTTACTGAAAATCTTTATGCTATGCTTTGCTTGTATGAATTAATGCTAGTTTTAATGTAATGCTAAGTATGGCTTATTTTAACAAGTGTGTTTTTTAACATTTTATTCAAAAATTTCTTAAATGAGAAATGTTATCTAATTTTTATTCAGAATAGTAGTGATAAAGTATACATAGAACTCTTGCATCATTTTGTAACAATCTGCATGTTGAATAGTAACTAAATGCCAATAAATAAATGAATGTACAAAGGAATTAAACTGTTTTTATAATACATAGCCTTTAATTGATTTAAAAAGTACAAACCTTCAGCACTAGGGAAACCGAGCACTAGGGAAATGTCCAGAGTTCTACAAGGATAAACCCAAATAACAATCTAAGCAACACTGGAAAGGCTTCCTTAAATGTCCTTCCCCATAATGAGATTGATGACTACCTTATATGCCATCCTAGAGCCTTCATCTAGTAGCTGTTGGAAGCAGAAGCAGACACCCACAGCTAAACACTGAGCCAAACTCCTGGAATCCAGTTGCACAGAGGGAGGAGTGATGAGCAAAGGAGTCAAGACCAGGCTGGAGGAACCCACAGAAACTACTGACCTGAACAAGGGGGAGCTCATGAACTCCAGTCTGATAGCTGGGAAACCAGCATAGGACCAACCTAGACCCCCTGAAGTGAGTGTTAGTTAGGAGGACTAAGCAGTCTATGAGGCCTCTGGTAATTGATCAGTATTTATCCCTAGTATATGAATGGACTTCAGAAGCCCATTCCACTCAAAGGGATACTCCCTCAGCCTAGACTCATGGGAGATGATCTAGGCCCTGCTCCAAATGATATGACAGACTTTGAAGACTCCCCATGGAAGGTGTCACCCTCCCTGGGAAGCAAAAAGGGGATGGGATGGGGGTTGGTAGGAGGAGCAGGGGAGTATGAGAGGGTGTGAGAACTGGGATTGATATGTAAAACAAGCTTGTTTCAAATTTAAATTTTAAAAAAGTAAAAACCAATATCAACTATATCCCACACTGCTGTTCTTTATAAATTTTAAGGCAACTCCTTGGATTATACCCATGAACAGAAATATATATATGTATATATATACACATATATACATATGTATATATACATATATATGTATATGTATATATACATATGAGAGAAAACTATTCTACACCAAGCCAGGAATGATGACACATGTATGTAATCCTGGTGCTAGAGGTACGTGAATTGTGAGTTTGATTCTGGCCTACTCTGCATTGTATCTGAAAAAAACAAAGTCTGGCCTTGATAGAAGATAGAGTACTGGTAGCATTGTCACCTACTGTGGTGGTTTGACTGAAGTGGTTTGAGGAAGTGTGCCACTGAGAATGGGCTTTGAGGCTACAGATGTTCAAGCCAGGTCCAGGTGTCATTCTCTTTTCCTGTCAATCCAGATGTAGAACTTTTGGCTCCTTCTCCAGCACCAAGACTGCCTGCATGCTGCCATGCTTTCTACAGTGATGACAATGAACTAAATTTCTGAACTGTAAGATAGCCTCAATAAGTGTTTTCCCTATAAGAGTTTCGATGGCCATGGTGTTTATTCATTGCACAAGAAATCCTAAGACATCTGCTATGCCCAAAATCCTGAATTCAATACTGTGGTATGTTTTCTTGAATTATCTACATGCACTTCAGAAGAGTCAAAACATATTCCAACAATACACCTTTGTCTGAATCACTTTGGGGGCTCACATTCAAAATCAATGGTTCATCCCTTTGAAAAAGCTAAATCGTCCATCTTCTTCATGGAAGACTGTTATTATATCTGGAAACAGTCAAATGTCATTCAAGGCCCAATAGTGTGCAGCCCTAAATATTGCATTATCATTATTTTAAGTGAAAAGTGAAGCATAAACATGAGCTTATACAAGATTTTGGGGTTTCACTCTCAGAAAGTCTCTAATGCTATATCCTAAATGTTTTTCAAAAGACTACAAGAATGATATCAAGAAATATGCAATCAGTGAAAAGAAAATGTTCACATTCCATTAATGAAAATTCTTAATTGCTTGTATGAGAAGCATCAAATCCCTCATCGTCGCTTGACATAATTCTTTAGTTCCATCGCCTCCTTCCCTAAATATCCTATGTGTTAAGAGTCCCACCAGTGTTTAACATCCTTTCTCAAAAAATAAAAATAAGTGGGTGGCACCTGAGGATAAATGATATTTTAAATTGACCTCTGACCTCCACATACATCTATACATATGGACATATACTTCTCTGCACACACATAACCATGCATGCATATGGACACATACAACTTTTTTTTTATTCCAAGATCCACATTAAACATGGGACCTGAAAAAAAAAAAAGCAACAACAACAAACTTCATCTCTAGAGAACTTGTTGTCTCACTATAGAAAGAGGCCAAAGACAGGGCAGGCAAGGCAAAGAACCACATCTGTATATTCTTGAACTGCTTATGTAGTAAAGACTGTCTATGCAATAGTAACTCTTTTCTAACCCGGAATATGCTGATAAAATTACAAAATAGGGCCAAAAATATCTCAAATTTTCTATCTCATATCAACCTTTATTGAATAATCACTGTGGCAAAGATTTTTTAATGCAAACTAAACCATTTTAAACAATATACAAAATGTATAGTGATCACTCAAAAATGGGGGAGGGATCTGTGTTGTATAGGATGACAAAATCATTTGTGACAACAACAAAAAATATGAACTTCCTAAAGAAAAAGATGGAAAGATAGTTATAGAAACTGATCAATTCATTAGACTCTGATCTGACCTCAGTATAGAAATACACAGATCTTGACCTCCAAGCGAATTAGGATATGTGTGTACATGCACGCATGTGCTTGTGTGTCTGTTTGTGTACACCTTTGTTCCTTTGTGTGTGTGGGTCCACATATATGAGGATGTGTGCTTGTGTATGACTGTGTGTGTGAGTATGTACTTGTACATGTGGAGGCCACAAGACGATTACTGGT